AAAAAAAAAAAAAAAACCTCATTTAGTTCATGTTTATTTGTCAAAATGTTATCATGATTAATAAAGAGCGAAGTAGAAATAAAAATAGCTTTAATATTATTAAAAAAGTTTATTGTTTTAGTTATTTGTGTTTTTTCTTTGATGTTATTAGTTATTAGTGTTGAAACTTGTTTTAAACAAATTTTTATTCTTGATTTTTAATTTTCGTTTTCAATAATTTGAAAATTTATAAAAACTAAAAATAAAAAAAAAAATCACAATCACATGGAATAGAGTTTAACATATTCATAAAATGGAGGTATTAATTTGATTCAAATTGATTGATTTTAATTATGTGAATAAATTTTAGATTTTATGAAAACAAAATCTCAGGTTTAATATTAGGAGGTTTCTAAGTCTCCATGAAGCAGGAAAAAGCTATACACACAAACCTTAATTATATAAATTTATTTACAACTCGATGTGGCATAAATAATTGGCTCATTTTTCTATATATAAAATTTAATAATTTACTAATTCAATATTAAATCAAGGTATAGATAAAGTTGTGTAGTTAAAATTATGCATATAATATCTCCAATAATAAAAATTACCCTGAAGAGGTGATTTTTTTGTTTTTTTTTCTTTGTAAAAAATAAGGAATGACTCGGTTAAACTGTAACCCAATCCCATGGCACGCTAGATATAATCTGGATCTGGGTTTGTTTGGGTCGCTTCTCGTACTTTCCGGTGAATTTTTAATGCCGATAGTAAATGGACTGAGTAGTCATCCAATTAGGCGGCTGTGATATAGAACTTACAAGAGACAAGAATTGGACGGTTCTGGTGCAGGGTACAGATTTATAGACCAGTCTATTGGGCTAACTGTAAACAAAGCCCTTTCGGCCATTTTATTGGTTCATCAAGAAAATGACCTCTTGTCATTGGGCCATTTTATTGGGACATAGAAGGCCAAATCCAACTCAGCACCATCCTTCCTCCCTCTCATTTAACAAATAAAATGGTGTCATAACTTAAATTTTTATTTAAAAAAATCAAAAATATAAAAATATAAAAATTTTCTCTTTTCTTTGGCTAATATATCTTTATTTTGTTTCAGGTGCTACATGCAAAAAGAAATTGGAAAATTCAAGAAGAAGAAAGAAGGGACTCAATTGAAGAAATTAAAAGTTAGAGGGGTGAAGTTCATCAAAATGAATTTTACAAACCCAAACCCAAAACCCATCAAACCCAAACCAAAATTACCCAAAAAACCCAAACCCAAACCAAAATTACCCAAA